CGACCTCTCAGACATTGCCTCTATTATATATTTGCGAACGTAGATTTTATGCACGTAGGCATGGAAAAAATACACGACAGTGGAAATCAACGCTAACCCTAATCACGATAGTCAGTGCGCTTACTCCTATTATAAAGAAATATTTCGTGTAAACATCACAAGGTCTGCAATGTGGTTTTGGAAGATGGAATCTAGTGTTGATCATAAATAACACATTTTCACGAAGAAAGAGATATCGCATTTACCTTCGACTTTTGCGATAATCATTCACATCCCCTGTCCCCTGCGTCCGTGTATTTGACGTCCCCGCGTCCCGTCCCACACGTCCTCGTGTCCCAAACTTGATGTCCTCAAGTCCCTCGTCTCGCGTCCTCAAGTCCCCACACACGCGGCCCGATGTCCCCGTCCCCTTATCCCCGTCCCACTTTTCTACACAGCCCATGTGCCATGGCTTGCAGAATGACATAATTATGCGGACTGTAAAATATGGAAAATGGCGCAAAGAAATAAATTAAACTGAAAAACATGCGCGCGTCTTTGCCGCGCCTTTTTTTGGTGCCAATTTGAGTGAGCAACTTTTTTCTGGTCCATTTATTACTGCTGGCTTAAGCCAACAAGGCAGAGCAGAAAGTAGCGATAAGCTTTACTGCATTTGTGTCTGTGTAATATTATTTAATACTTAATTTATTTTTGTTGCTTTCAACAATACTTTCTCTCTTTCTGCCCGTCAAAACGCTAGAGGGGAAAAAACGCTTGTTGAACGTGAAGTTGGGCTAGCTACAATTCTAGAGATTATTAATTAATACGGTGGACGGATCAGATCATTTTTGAGACTAAATGAACGCCCCGAGTCAAACATTAATCTGTAATCGAGTGAAGCGAACTGCTCTCTGTCTCCTTTCGGCCTTTCGCGTGTCTTCGCCCCAGGGGCCCCACTCACATATTTTAATGACGGGGGGGTCCAAAGGATTTTTTTGGGTCTGACATTTTGGCCAAAAGGGATTTTTTTGGGTCGCGAAAACAACAGAGGGATTTTTGTGGGTATTGTATTTTTCATCAGCTCAAATCAAAAATAACATAAGCGCAATTTATAGTTTTATTTTTGACCAAAACTAAAGTTGAAGTTGGCATGTTTTAGCTTTCCAGAAGATAAATAATAAAATTTGCTGATGCAAAAACACTGAGGGATTTTTTTGGGTATGCTAAAAAAAGTAGGGATTTTTTTAGGTAGACAAATTCTGAAGTTGGGATTTTTTTGGGTATAAAATATGAACCTCTGTCGGACCCCCCC